GGAGAAGGATATTGATTTTTACACACCCATGCGCCAGATGGAACGTAAGTATGATTCCTAAATCGTAATGTAGGAATAAGTGTTATAACCACAGCAAAAGCCCAAACACCACACACGCAAGTTATGAACAAACGATGTGAGAGTTTCCTCCCCATAAGCACCATGACAAACGTGTGGACAGCAATTGAGAGAACAAAGAGCCCGCTAGCCGGATCACCGATCTGGAGTAGCCACCCCTGCGCGAAGCACATACGCGAGCGGTAAGTTATTTGGTCTGTGATGACCCAGTGTATTGACAGGAAAAACCCAATCGCTTGTTGAAAATCCGCTAATAGCAAGTTGTAAATCAAGATGAGGAATTGGTTATAGCCGAGATATGTTGGGTAGTATTTTCGCCAATAGATCAAGCGATAGGTAAATACTATAAAGAGGACACCCGTAGAAATCGTTGAAAGAATGGAGGTAATGGCAACACCTATGAGACCTCGTCGGTGTTCCACTGGTAGAGGATCGATGATGAGTGGAGTGACTCTTCGTGGTGCAAGCGATCTTGCCTCGAAAGAATTCGCATCTGAGGGGCCGTATCCTCCCCACATCGCAGCAGCCAGATCCATGTTGGTTTCCAATAGCTATTGATTGTTCCGGTTGTAGTCTCAATGGTTTGCCCTTCTCTCACTCTATTCACATCCGTCCTTGTGGATGCTTTTGAAGGCAGGAGGTTCAAAGAGGACTTCTAAGTGATATATAAGATCTTCCGGCCGGCATCTGTATGAGGATAAAGTTTCAATAGTGACAATAATGGCATGAAGATGAACCTGCTGGGGGGGTCAGCAAAAGCTTGAAGTTACGGAGTGATAATCAGAAAATCTGGGGCATCAGTTCGTTTTGTTCAATTCCAACAACGGCCATGGGCCATGGACCACAGAGCCAAAGGGAGTGGAGTAAGGACAGACAGGGATTTGCGAACTAAATAAGCTCCATTCTTTGTCCTTCCAGGTACTCCAGTTGACGGCCGTTTTGCCTCCATCAATAATTCAGTCCTGGTCATTTTCTCCGGTAAGCGGATGTCCAAGTGCATCGATGGCAAGCCATCCCTCTCGCGACGAAGTTGCGTACCCTGTCCATGACTAGTGTTAAGTTCGGTGGGTTCGGCAATGCTTCTTGCAGGGGTTGTCGTTGGTGAACAGCTAGCGCTAGTGATGGAGACATTCTTTCATGCAAGACACGGAATAGTGCGTTTGCTCATGGTAAATTATCGCAGGAGGTGAAAATATCCCAAATGTCTTGGTATGTTATCTGTTGTGGCATTTGTTGGTCAGTGCCGAGTACTCGGTTGCGTTTGGATAATTTGACGTTTAAAAACTTCCTGGATTCAAAGACCCTGAAGATTCCGGAGTTCTCAAGAACGTGGCTCTGTGGGAGGATTTGGAGTTGCCTGCTTCACCTTCACTGGGAACTTCTCTTGTGTACGCAGGAATTCCCTCTTCATATCCCATTTACCGCGTCTGAATGTGGACGGCTTCCTTGAACAGCCGAGCGCGTAGGTGAGAAAATGATGAAAACCTTCAGCCCAGCCCAATGACGGTGTGCTTGGGCCCTCTCGATGCTCACGCACCGGTTCCACGGAAGAAAAACCGAGTTTATCTCCGTTGATGTTATTCAAAAGAGTTGAAGAAATGCTCGCGGAGTTACTGTTTGCTAGCCTGACCAACGTCGAATAGAAACAATACAACTGAGAGTTAGGCCCAAATTAAGGACATCCGGCGAGATCAGCTGGTGATACATCGGTGTACAGACCCGAAATGATACTGCCTTAGTCTAACGGCGAGCAGAGAACGGAACATGCACGAGGGAAATTACTGAATCCATCAGCCCATGCACAGAATGGAATTCAACAGGTGTTATCACTTGCATGCTGGGTGATATTTATTCTTTGTCTCAGTGCCATTGAAATACGGTAGGGTAGGTATTTCAATCGCCTGGAGGAAGAGCATGTGCGTAATATCTGGAGCTGTTGAAGCCCTGGAAGTATGAACACCACATTGGTCGAATTCATATGCAACATGATATCTTTCATTCAGGGACCAATTCCCCACACGGCTCAACAAACTGTGGGATCAATTAGCTCAGCTGTACTCCGTAGGCTACAGTTATTCTCTCCTGATTGACCCACTCTGGGGCATTATACTTCGTGAGGAACATCAACATAGACAGAAGCCCTATCTTCATCTGATTTGACATCGCGCAGTTCCAAAATCAGCATTAGCGATGGAGCCCGATGATCAATATTGACATTAAAAAAATTAGTCCTATCCAGGAACTACAACGATTTGTTCTTAGATCCGAGATCTTGGATTGTGGAAAGCAGAAGTAAAGTTCACGACAGGCTGGTTTTCACGCGCTCTAAGGCTCAAATGCGCACAGTGCTTTTATGGAGCCGTTCGCTCCACCTCTGAGAGGATCCATGGGTGCGATCATGAAGCGGGAAGTAACCAAGCTGGTGGTTGCGACGCCATGGGACTAAAAGTCTAGCCCTGGCATGAAACGCATAATCTTGGAGTTTATCAAGGAAGATACGGAGTACTGGAGGATGAATTCGCCTCTCCAGATGAAACGGTGGTCAACACTCTTGATTTTGAGAGAAGCATACGAGAACCCAACTGGATCCCGAAGAAATCTCTCCATTGACAAAATATTCTCGGCACCAATCGCTACATCGTAAGCACCCCTGGATGCAAGGGTTGGAGTCGCATGGTCAACAAGGATGCTGAACCAGCACCTAGGGTTTTTCAAACAATGATTTGTTCTCACCAACCCAGCCACTTTAAGCCCCAGATCTGCCACTGATAGCTTCCCAACGCCCTAAGAGAGTGGAGAAGAAAATGTGGGGGTTGATATTTTCCACTTTCCACAAAAACAGTGCCGAGGGGAACATCATGATTGAGCAACCGAAAAATTCGCTCCGGAGTTACCCAGCCCCCACGGCGCACGAGCTGGGATTTTTTCCAAGGAAGGCTTGAGAATCTCCAGAGAAAGGACTGGATGCCAGCCCATGCCATGTCGAGTTAGGACAACTTGATCTCCCCTGTAACTTAGGGAGAACTCTCGAATACCGATCTTCATCTTCCGGCGGGGTCAATCTTCTCTTAAGGAAGATAGCGCCAGTAGCACTGCCAATCAACGTGCTTCCAGATGCTAGTCGGATCCCACCTCGTATTCGACGACCTTCCCGAGGTCGGCCTGATATGACCCCCTCTCAGCCTCCGAGACTTCACTCTCACTCAGTAGTTAGTGAGCTTAGTTCTTGCATCAGCAACTATCCGCTCGACATTGGCGGTACGTAACAACTTCGACTCTGGTCGCGAAAATCTCAGATATTGTAGAGCGGTGTTTGTCAGGGTCAGTATCCGCGTGCTGAAAAATAATTGGTAACTTTGTTTGGAAGCTTGATAAGTTCGAAGGTCATTGTGAATAGATGCCAACCGACTCGCGACTGGGCAATATCTCAGTATCAGAAAAATTGCGCCTCGTCAAACAGATATCCGCTGCTCTTCCATAACCGGAGACTTACAGCTGGATGATTGAACGCTGACGTCGCCATAAAACAAGACGGCCTCTCAGGCGGCGGCTGAATGCCTAGCAATTTTCCCCAGAAATGAGACTGTGTGTTCCCAGTTAGTGCTGACGTTGAAAAAGTTGGTTGTAACGGCCAAACAACTCCTGGAAAAGATACCCGCTCCACCATTGAACGATAGAGCCATGACTTAAAAGTCCATTTGCTGAGGGAGAATCTTAGAAGTGGAGGGTGAGAGCGTTTACCAACCAGAAATTACAACGCCTTGCACATTTTGTGCGAAACTTGAGAAGTCAAACGGGTGCCAGCCACAAGGGCATTTCGAATGACTTGAATTTCGACGGACTCTCAGAACGAGGAAGTTCTTCACTTGTTGCCGTTCTCATATTCAATCCCGGGACGGGGTAGGGATGTGCACACGATCGCCACGGGTGATATGCAGCATACATACAACAGGCTGCCAGTGTATGCTACCACGACTCGCGACATTAACTCAGGGGCACGATATCGGCTCTGCTAAACTGTGATGTGCAGGCGTCGCTGAGGTCAGTCAGTCAACACGTAACTCCAAACCCAGAATTTCGGCTTGCGAATAGCAAGTATTGCCTTATTAGTTGCGAGTTGGCAAGCAGGGCCAGCCAAGGAAGCTCAATCACTGGCCATCAAGGAAGCCCCAGAGCTCGCTGGGTTTATACCTCGAGATATTCACCGCCCAGAGATATCGAAATCAACTAGTTAATGCTTGATCATTACCCCCTATTGCGATGCTCCCCTGACCAGGAGTCCCTCCCCGAGCGACACCATGCAGCAAGCATACAGGGAGTGTCTACAACCACTCACTGACTCTGTCATAAAGACCGAAAAGATGAATCGCTCAGCCACCGAAGGTTGTACTCCGGCAACTAGCTACTATCTATAGTATAAAAAAAGATCAAACAGGAAATATTTACACTCCCCCTCTGACACGCTCCCGCTTGCAAGCCATTAGCATGGTTATACTAGAGGACGAAACATCCTATTCGAGCAGGGCTGACCATGACTGTACGAATCCTTGGACTCAAGGAAGAACGGGGGCATGAGAAACCAGGAAAAAAGAACAAGAGATTGGTTCTTGCGTAAGAATGTATTTAAAATGCGACTACGCCAGGATTCGAAACAACTTAAATCGAAAGTCTCAGTACTCCATACCATTGGCAGATATCCCATCAGAACCCTCGTCTTGGCTAACCACCTGCGCTTACCGCGCATCAAGCTCTGTCACCATGCAATAAGATCAAGGATTTAGCACTAACATATTTATTGCACCTCGCGAAGGAGGCTTTCCTCCTGGGAGGTGGTTGTCCCGAGGCAATTCCTGCCTGCTTGTTGAAATATAAAATATGATATCAGCCACCGCCTCTCAAGGAGGTTTGGAGTTTCAACAAGTCTAACTCTGAATTGAATGTACGGTTGATATGTCGCCGCCGGCCTGTACTACGGAGAGTTAAGCAATCAACTCTTCCTAACAACTCTGGGCATCCCATGTCTTGAAGTTATTACTCAACCCTCTATTAATAATGTGCGAGACTCACCATGAGTGCTTGCGATGGGACCACCCATCTTTGGAGGCCTTTGCGGATTTCTGAGAGAATCAATTTTTCCTTTGCAGCGTTGTGGGGAGTTGGTGTGCGAGAGATAATATGGGAACTCAGGTATGATATGAGTGTCTGCTATATACCGCACAAAAGCCCATTACACATATGTCGTTAGCGAAGTTATATCTTCTTGTTTGGCGTAGTTGTCAGTTGTGTCTGAATTTGGGCTGCAACGAGGATCAAGCCAGATAAAGATAAATTAAGATATACCACATATTGCATCCCATCCCCCCCCCCCCCCAAAAAAAAAAAAAAAAAAAAAAAAAAATCTTGAACGCAAGAAACTGCTAAATGAAATGACGATAATTCACACGACGAAAATTTGTTCCCACCTGGGCAGGGTACTGGGTCGCCATGGCAGAGTAACTGATATCACAAATTAAAACAATCTCATGGAGATACAGGAAACAACGCAAGCAAGAACAACAGGAAAAATCAGCAAATGGCTGCTAGCGATCGCCGGGCAACCCTCAATGACATGAGGGTTGTCCACGTTTATCGTTCTCAAAACTCTGAACTCAATGGTTAGCCCTTCTCCCCTAGAAATGAATTCCCTGACGTGTTACGGGTGTGCTTTGTAGTTTCCGCTGCTTTCCACCAGAGCCGTCGTAGCATTTTCGGCGGGTTTGATTTCAACAAGGAGCAACAAAAGGAAGACCTATATGAAATTTCCCTTGGCAATTCATGTCGGAAATCATGGGAACGAACAACGCGGATTCTTGCATATCAGCGAGAATTTTTGTAGAATCTCAAAGAAAAAAAAAAAAAAAAAAAAAAGGAAAAAAAAGGTGATGAATTAGCAACAAACGGAACAGTTTCGGAAATTTTGACGTGTATCGAAATAGATAAGGTCATCATCGTGTTTCGAGATCACCTTCCATTCATAGTGAGGGCTGTTCCACTTGGATCCGAGGGGAAAGGGTATTGAGGGTTGGCGGATAACAGCAGCTCTTGCAACCTGAGTCCAATTTCCGAAAAAAATCTGCGGAAATCCGAATAATACCAGATAATAGATGTCTGCACGGGAAACACGAATAAAATAAAAAGGGTGTAACTGGAATTTAACTGTTCGAACTTTTATTTCGCTGTTAGGGGAGAAGAGCAAAGTAACTCGGAAGTTAATCAATGACTGAAGCCTCCCGAACCGGTTTCATGTTATCTGTCAATGTTTAAACAATATCCATACTATCCAACAATTAGTAACATGTTCCACGAGTGGTCATATCCAGAAGCGAGCTAATCCTGCGTGTAGGTCCAATAATCCATGACACCCTCGTTATCCCAAAAAGGCTCAAAGCTATTCAGCGAATCCATTGTAAAGGCAATGCCGAGGGAATTGGCAATGGAATCCTGCATCGTCTGGTCATCGGCCTGACTACAGGCGCTGTTACTGCCACCGCCGATAAATTGGGCGCCGATGCTATACGTCTGAGGGTTTGCGTTGGCGATCTCAGATACATGAGAAGAGGCGGGACTATGCTGGCTGTCCCCTTGGGTGTGGTTCAGAAATACATCGATCTTATCGACGACGGTACGGGTGACGTTCGCGGCGCTCGCGGCGATGGCGAAGTGGTTGCCGAAAGTTTCAAAGACGGTTATGGCCATGCTAATGGCGTTTCGTGCGAGGGGTGTTAGAGGAGAGTTCGGCTGGCCCAATATGAATCCCATCAGGCTGATAGAGGCGTTCCATTGCCACTGATACGCCTCATGCCAGCCAGGGAGAATGTCGGATTCGTCGAGGATTTGATGTATGATATAGGTGATTGCCATCGCATGATTAACACATGAAATTGCGTTGCTTTTAGTCTTTGGTTCGAGAATTGAAGAAAAGCAGATAAAAGGTCGATAGAGATTCATTGAAAGATTGTGGTACAGGAGTTCTAGGAGCACCTGCTGCCTCTTCAACCAGTGGGGTGCAAATCGCTCCACCTCTAACGGTGACCTGTCGGTGGAGAAACGTTCTCCAGTCCCTTGGCGTTTCATTCTCAACGCCGCTGGCACCTTGGAAAGCCACGTCTGGAGAGCGCTCATATTTAACGAAAGAAATTCTGCAGCGTTCTCCAGACCTTCCGGATCATTGTATAGGCTCTTCCCACCATTCCTACCAAGAATTTCAGAGCAGTGATCATAGAATGCAGTGTAAATATTGCGGGCTGTTATCAGTAGTTTAATGTGATGTAGACCGTGAGTAAGCCATGTGATATCTTCGCCGAACGAGCCAAAGTTAGATCCTGAATGCAACGCCAATTCATGGTCATCAGCCGGTAAACTGGCAGTAACCTGAGATAGTTGGGCATAAAACGGCCGTCCAAGCTTCATGCATGTTTTGCTCTCTGTGGCATACAACATCCACCACATCCGTTTCCTTAACTCCCGCTGCGATCGGGGCATGTCCTCTGGGGGCTCTAAGTGGATGCCTAGGATATGGGCTGTCCGAACAGCAACAGCCAAAGTACTATGAGCCATGTTCTGGAATGATGCATTGCAAAGAAAGATGAGCGTGAAAATGTGGCACTGTAGAGTAGATATCGATGGGCTTTCAAGCTCAGTCGCCAATAAAGCTTGGGATCGCTTATAAAACCAGCGGCCGGCGATGGTCGCATCGTTGCTATCGACATCCGCCTTTGACGCGGTGTTTGCATCAGACCGGGGCAAAACTGAGATGCCATATTGCATGGTCAGAGCAAGGACAATATCAACTAAGGCAGATGGTTTTCGAGGTTTCCCTGGCGTATCCCACAGCGACTTGTAATATTCTTTAAACTCCCTTTCATCCAGAATTGGCAGAGTGCAGTGATACGACTGCCAAAATAGGTTCAAGAAATAGTCTTCCTGTGTTCCTGTAAGGTAGTCTCCATCTATCGGTGTGTCAGCGGACATGAGAGTCTCTTCAATGCTTCCGTTCTTTGAGCTGGTGGGACACGAGAACGACCTGCTCGCGGAATTAGGGTGAAAATGATGTTCTAAATGCGGCTGTTGGAGAACCGTAGCTAAGTAAGAACTTAGGCGACCGACGAAGTAGCATAGAGACGACGGGCCATAGAATTGGGTTTGATGAGACTTGGCCATTCTTGCATGGATGCCCTCCCAATTCCTCCTGTTGGGCCGGTCTGGATTAAGCGGATCGAGTCCCTCAGGCGCGTACACAGATAAGGGTCGTGGAGGCTTTGAAGGGTGTACAACATGCTCAACTTCGGGTTGCTCAGCATCTTTAAGCTGCAACTCCAAGTCCTTAATACGCCTTTTTAGTTTCTCGATTTCTCTAACAGATTGTCAACCGAATAATCCACCACGGCCGTCTCGGTCAGCGAGAAAAAGAACGGGAGGCTATAGAAGACCAACCTGAGAGCGTGAGGCAGCGTCCGCAATTCGCTCTCCCCGTTGCTGGTGCATTTCCCTCCTCGACTACGACAGTTTGCACATGGGCGTTCATTGTCACATCTGATGCGGTGCCCGCGGCACCAGTCACAGGCCCTCGCGACCTGCTTGCGCTTGGGCCGTACTGCGGTGGCGGATCTGAAAGGGAGTTGCTCAGATTGGCTCCCTCCAACAGCGGCTTGAGACGAGTCTGTGGGGGTAGCAAGCATCATTGCGGGCATTGAATCAAGATCGTTTCTATGTGTAATGCCGCTGTTCATTCATCCATCCAACTGTTAATCTTGGAATTCTCCATGGCTGGGGCTGTCTGTCCGACCGATGCTTCCGCCAGCTCTTGACGCCGGACTTAGCGCGATGGGATCCTTGCACTTGGCATCTGGTGTGGAGTTTGTCGAAGCGAATGTTCGTCAATATCTCGATCAACTAACCTCCTCGATATCAAGCTATCAAGCATTATGCTCCGTGCTGCATATGACTGCCCAGCCCCAGAGGGCTCTGCGCAGTGTGGAAGGGGAAGCGTATCGCGACATATTAGTTACTCCCATGGCCCAAACTGGGGCCAGGTGAAGCGGAGAGTGTTAGAAGCCTAACTGAAAGGAGCTGTTCCGAGGTCTCCTCCGAAGCTCCAGGATCATGCGTTGTGAACGGATGAGTTGTCAATGCCAGGGAATAATTTCACTCTAAAACGCATTGCAACCTCTTCTTCAAACACCCGTCATGAAAGAGGTTCTGGGGGCGAACGGGAGATAACCAGCCGTTGTCGATTACCAGTATGGATAGATATCCCATCTCCCACATGCCAACTGAAGTTCATTATAAATATATATATATATTGAAATGCAGGTGCGAAGCTGGCTGCCAGGTATCTAAATCAAGATATCTCCAGCCAACAACCAAGTGGTTTAAAGAAAAGAAATAAACAAAAATAATATCCGCAAAGAGCAAACTGTCAACTCTCAAAATTCGGATGGCTTCCATTCCATGTCTCGCTGCGACTTGATCTCAAACGAGACTAAAATTGTTTTATCTAAGCTGCCAGAGAACATGTCCAAAAACTATCTTGTCCTGCAGTTCTGGCCAGTTTGATACACGTTCATCTCACCCATCCTGATTTGTCTCGAGCCAAAAATCCAAATACGCCGGCTTGAAAGGCTTGATCGGCTTGAAAGGAATGTCCCAGGGTCATCCCCCCCCCCCCCCCCCCCCCCCCCCGGCTGGAAATCATACCGAAACCTCGCCGCTTGCTTCGGGCCGAAATCATATACTCTGCCGCAAAACATTAAGATGCCAATATCCTACATGAGCTGGGCTACTGGGATCAGAGAACTTGATATTTTAATCGTCTGCACCGGAACCGCAAGCAAATTGCAGCAATCGTGGCGCACCACCTCGGCCTAGCTTCTGCAGACTCTTGCCAACTTGCTGATGCCGAAAAATGGATACATGGAAGCCCCAACGTCTGCATGCTAGTTGATGTCAATGGCTGGAAGGACGATGGAGGAAATAATCAATTGGTGGTCCTATTTCCCCTGCCATACTGCGTTGGAGAGGCGCCTTGGCCAGGGAACGCAGATGAGAAGATCCGGTGTGAAGCCGGCACGTACGCATAGATCCAGCAGAACTGTCCAGATGTGCCCATTCCTCGTTTGTATGGATTTGGACTCTCCACTGGTCAGACCGTATGTAGCTCCCCTGAGACAGCCTGCTGGGAACACTCGTCACCTAACAAATTCTAGTTCACCGTTCTTGACAACCTGCAATTTATAGCCCGTGCTATCCAAGCTTTGCGCTGCCGCTTGTTAAAGTTCTTGGGATATCCAATTCCCTCTCGCTATATTCAGCACCAAAGCTGGGAGAGATGTACTTTAAATACGGACTATCTGTTGATTGGGTATATCGAATCATCGAGAGGAGAAATGCTTTCCAACACATAGCAGGAAAGACGTCATGATGTAAAGTTGCCAGCAAATCTCGTCCA